GGTGTGTGGAGGGTGGGGCCGGCGAGTGGGGTCGAGCAGGGGGGTGGGGTGCTTGAATGGGAGGACGGGGTTGGGTCGGCAGCCGCAACAGCGACAGCCCCGCGGGGGCCTTCCCCATTCCACCCCCTGGTGCGAGTGGCCCCCACAGCGCACGCAACCCTATCCTCGCGCCCCTGCCGGGCCAACAGCGGGCGCGCCGCCAGGCCCGACTGGCCCCACACGCCCAGGGCGCATCCTTGCAATCCGGGTTGGCCCCCATCAGGACTCGAAACCTGCTGCGATGCACACGGGCCCTCTCTGCAGGGTCAAGCCCCCGCTCGTCTGCCCCGCAACCTGCTTCACCCCACCCAGGCGGAGCGGCTCACCGCAGCGCCACCCCCGCGTCGGGGCCGTCCTCTATGAGGACCTCGTAATCCTTGGAGATCTGCTTAGTCAGATCTGCCAGCAGCGGGTAGCTGATGCCGCCGAGGCCGCCCGCCTTGCGCGGGGTGTTGACCCACGCCAGGTGGCTGAAGTGGCTGTCGACGCTGGCGCCGATGACCTGGCGGCGGGCGTTTGGGGGTCGTTGCGGGGCAAGTGAGAACTTCCTAGGGCGATGCATAGGACCCAGCAGCGCGCCAACCCCCTTCCACGCTGTTGGCGAGCCGGCAGCTGCCTGTCTGCCCTCTTGCCATGTCTCCTGTCGCACAGTCTCCTGTCGCACAGTCCCTGACTCTTGCCTCGTCCGCACGCTCACCGCAAACACGCCCGCCCACCCGCGTGCGCTCAGAGGCCTGTCAATGCGCACAGTCTCTCCTTTGCAGAACTTTGCTCAGACACACCCCTCGACGCACATGTACGTTGCATGCGCATGCGAGCACTCATGCACGTACGCAGCCAAGCAAGAATGCACACACCACCTTGCACGGAGACAGTGTCACATAAAGTAAGTGACGACACTTTTCTTGCCCTCACCGTGGTGTTGATCTCCTCAAACTCCTTGATGCGGTCACTGAAAGCCACGATCTCTGTGGGGCTGCAAGGGTTGGGGGCGGCGGCGCGAACGACTGGGTACAACTTGCTACGTGGCCCGGAGTTGTTCAGGCTAGCAATGCTGTGTGCAGCGCCACCGCCGCAGACGCCCTCTCCCAGCTGGTGGGCCATGCGCCATGTTGGGCGGCTGGCAGGGTGCCACGGGCTGCAAGCCTGCTGCAGCATGGCAACCGCGCCCCGGCATGCAGTATTATGCCTGCTCCTAGGGCGCCTGAATTTCGGGTGTGCTGCCCAGGCTGCACAGGCCCCATGCATCCTGTCCTAGAGCCGCTGCGCTCACCAGACAAAAGTGAAGTCCTGGGGTCGCAATGAGGGTCGGCAGGAAACGCGGGTGAGGGTGACGACAGACGCGCATGGCCAGGTGCCCACGCTGAACAGCCGCCACACAACGGCACAACCGCCTGCCCCAGTGCGAGCGGCGGCTCCGCATGCACCATCGCATCGTCATCGCGGGTGTATAACCCCATTATAATACATGCATTGCCAGACAGCAATCACAGGTGTGTCAGCTCAGGATGGCTGCACAAGGTCAACTCCAGAGGCTTCTCATGATGAGGGTGCAGCGTGCAGGTGACCCCACCACCGCCATACACGGCACCCTGCTCACCAGCGGGTAGAAGAACAGGACGATGTACTTCTGCGGATTGGTTTGGTGAGATGTAAGGGCGAAAGCGAGCGTCAGGCAGGGAATTGGATGTGGGCAGTGCCAAGATCGTCACCTCACCATCCTGCGTTCTCACGCGGCTGTGGCCCCTGGGACTTACCCCCTTGTTCAAGTAGTCATCCAGGGAAATCTCAGCGATCTCGCCGCTCGGCAGCACCGCCTGGCCCTTGAAGGCTGGCGCCTTCTTTCCAATGCGAGCCATTGTGAAATGTGCTGGGTGTGAATGAGGTAAGTTTAGTTGAACGTTGCGTGCAATCCAGGCAATCGAATGTGGGATTTGTTGTGCGCGCCCCACCGTTTCGTAAGGAATGGCTGAAGCTGCCCGCCTCGAAAGATCACACATCAGCGGGTGACGATGATCAGTGCTCAGGCCGTGTCGTTTGCTGCGTACGGAAAGATTTTGGCACGATCCTGGTCGATGTCGCGGGTCACAGGGGGCTTCACATGGCTGAAGGGGGTGACAGCGGGCGCGCTGCCGGCCGCGTCCGCATGCGGGGGAGCTGTCGGCGCCGCTCGCGCCGCCTCCGCGTTCCCCCCCGCCAATGGAAGTCCCACTGCAGTCTTGTGTGCGTTGCATCAGGGCAGCACGGGCGCAGCAGCAGGCCGTACAGGTAGGGGCGAGCCCGACTGGATTGTTGCGCAGTGCCTCTGGCCCTTGCAGGTGGCGCCCATGCGGGTCTCGCCAAGGCCGATAGCAGCCGTGGGGATGCAGCCGCACGGCAGGGCCAGGGTCACCTCGGACAACCACATAAATACACACACTCACACAAAAATATGTGTGACACACGCCTCGTGACAGGCCTCTTCCAGGGCGGGGTGCGCGCCCTGTCCGGGCAGCCGTGGCAGGCGCCGCCCGATGGCGACGGTTCGCAGCCGCTGCGGGCGCCAACGCCGGAGGCTCAGCAGCAGGCCCAGCCGCAGCGGCAGCAGCCATTACCGCTCCCGCATCAGCAGCAGCAGCAGCAGCAGCAGCAGCAGCAGCAGCAGCAGCAGCAGCCATATTGGCAGCCTCAGCAGCAGCAGCACCAGCAGCAGCCGCAGCTGCAGCCGCCCCCGCCGTCAGAGCAGCGACAGCAGGAGCAGTCTTTGAACCAGCAGCAACCGCCGCCGCCGCAGCAGTATGCGTGGCAGCAGCAACCCTCCTATCAGCAGCCGCCACAGCCGCAGCAGCCGTGGCCGGTCGCCCCAGGCAGCGGGAGCGCCGGCCTGCAGCAGCCGGGCGCCTTGGTGCCCGAAGGGCGCGCCGCGCACGCCGCCCCCCTCGCAAACCCTGCCCAGCACGCCCCCGGCCGCCCCCTGGTGCCGTACGACTGGGAAATGCTCAACACTGTGACGCTCACCGGCGTCGTCGTGGCGTCACTAGTGACGGCCGCGCCGCCCCCCGCCGGCCGCGCGCCGCCGCCCGCCGGCGCCGGCGCTGGTGCCGGCACGGTCACGCGCCTCGTGCTGTCCACGTTCACCGACGCGGCCGCGCCGCCGCGCGCGCCGCGGGGCGCGGCCTTTGAAGTCGAGGCGCGCGGCGGCGACGCGGCGGACCTGCGGGCGGCACGGGTGGGGGACATATTGGTGGTCACCGGTCGCTTGGCACACAGGGCCAGCGGCCGCGGCGCGGCCGCGGCCGGGCTCAAGGTGCTGGTGGACGAGGTGTGGTGGGTCGACCCCGCGTCTGTCCCGCCCACCGCCGCCCCCGCGCCCTGGGACGG